AAACCCATGAACCCCAGGTTAAAAGCCTATAAATTTTTATGTATGCCATCAGTAGTGCACAGTCCTCTAAAACACTTGATTTGTTGCTTATTCATTGATTTACTGGTGAATTAGGAAGAAAGAATTTGTCGCCTATGCTTTGATGTCAAATAGATCTGAAAATCAAAGTGAGGAGGGGACTCCGCTTAATAAACATTCTAAGTCCTCCTTTGCTCACCTGAACTCTGGTAACAAAAGAGTGCCTTGGAATGGATGGGAAGTGCTTGGCATTGGGCCTGGCACATGGAAAGAGTCTGCTATCTTTATTGGTGTTTTTTTTCCCTGGCATGACAGAGAAAGCTAGGAAGGAGGTAGCACAGCAGTTCAAGACCTGCTTTGCCCTTTGCCTCTTTCCTTAGTGTTGACTTCTGAAGTGTCTCAGTGAATCCCCAAAATACAACCTTACCCCAAGCTGAGTTCTGATACAGTCATTTACAAAACTAAGGAGGAAGAAAGTATACAAAGAGAAGTCTTCTGATAACTGGTAACTGTTATCAGACACAAGTCCTCTGGTAACTGACCAAAACTCAAATCCCTTCTTCACTCCTTAGGGCCTATGCTCAGTAAACGAATAAGACAAAAATACATTCTGTATCACCCAGTCCTCCAGGGTGAATTTTAAGGGGAGGATTTGATTCCTAACCAAATAAACATGAAGGGAATCCAGAATAACTGGCCAAATAATTGTTTGACATGGATCAGATTTCACACAAATAAAAGTTAAAAAAAATTGAAATATGTATATAAAACATAGGAAAAATTATTCCTCCCAAAAGGAGAGAAAATTGTTATGTGCAAGAGATAGCTAGAGGGTTTATTTGCAGCCTCAACCCTAGCAAAAAACAGTTAGCTTTAGAACACAAGTGCTTTACATGTTCACAAAATGAAAAATCATGTCCTGTTCTCTGGAGGAATTTCCGATCCAAACAACCATTTCTGCATGTGCTACACTGTGTCCTCACTCTTTGAGATCCTGGTTGGCCTCAGCTAGAAAAATGGTATTTTAGTTCTTCTTTATTGCTCTAAAATCCTAAGTGTAAATCTCTAAAGCTCCCTATTAAATCACCAAGATTGAGAACAGGGGGTGGGAGGAGAAATAATTGGGTTGGAGGTGGGCGTGAGAAGGGTCTTATATTACATGGCAAGACTCAAAAGATACCATTTTTCTCTTGATAGTGACATACCGATTGTAGGTACCAGCATGATTTACAGACCTTTAAAGGGAAACAGAAATATAGCTTTAAAAGGGGACTTGCATCTTCAAATTATGGCAAATATAAAAGTCAATTAAAGCCATATAAAAGTCAGTGTCATAAGGAGAGGAAGATTATAAGGAAAAGCAATCAAACATTAAAGGAAACAAAGAACCAAAGTATGGAAAGTATAAAATGACATCGTGGGGATAAGGCGAACTAGTAACTATAACATAAAATGAAAATGGGAAAAACTGCACTAAAATTAGATTTTTTTAAACAACCAGAGGAGCACATAATGCAAAATGATAAAGTTTAAATGTGAAGGAGGATAGATTTCATTTATCACTTGCAAGTCAAACAAAACCATCAAATAAAACAAAATGACAAAAGGAGCAAAGACCATTTTTATAATAATCAAAAGTGAATATGTAATTATTAAAAACTCTTCTGTGATAAGCCTCATTGTTTCAAAATATATTGAATACAACTTAAATGTTTCGATAGAAGAAAGGTTAGGTGTATGGTGGTATATCTGTGAGGTACCCTGGTCTCTAGTAAATAAGATTGCTGTATTGAAGTTTCTCTGTTTACAAGGGAGGGTGTTACCAGTATATAATTTGTTGAAAAAGCATATTGCAGATGGTATAGACATTATTTTCCTAGTTTGGTTAAATAGAACCAAAATGTGAACTGAGGTTATTTCTAGGTGCTGAAATGAAAATAAATTTAAATATTTTCATCTATGCTTACCTTGCAGAGGTGAGTCCTTGATCATGAAGGTGGTTCTTCCAGGGTGACGCTCATCCAGATTTGCTTACCCCTGTGAGGTCCCCAAATGTGGCAAAATCGACTACGTAATTGGTGGTAGTGGTGGGATTACCTTCATGCTCTCCCCTACTAAAAAATAAATATTTTTTATCTGTACTTTTACTTTTTTATCTGTTACTTTTTAAACTTTGCTCTTGGTGAGTTAGTGGTGCTAAAGAATTCACGGTCTCTTCCTCCGGGAGGATTATACTCTCAGGCATCATTCACCTGACCCTGGCCTTGTGACTTGCTTTGCTTAATAAAAAGTGAATGAAAGTGACATGCACCTCCTGTAAGCAACAGCTTGAAGGACTGTCTCCTGGCTTTGCCCTGCCTCTCTTTGTTCCATCGCATGGGGTTTGCTTTCTCATGGTAAAGACATTACAAAATAGTGCTGTGGGTGACCCTGTAAAGGACATCTTAAATAAGTAAGAAACAAACCTTTGTTATGAGCCCTTGAGCCTTGGAAATTGTGTTATCACATCACAACTTAGGCAAAGTAGTCCCTTGTTTCCAATGGTTTTCTGAACAGGATAATTTATGATTCCTATGAAAAGCAAGTTCTCAAAGTCTTTCCTCCCATTTTTTGCTTAGCTTGGTCTCTGGGTTTTAAATCTGAATTTTGTGTCACTCATTGTAAATGCAAATGTTACAGCTCTTACAATTTTTGTGACCCCACTGGTCTGAAGGAAGAAAGATACGGAAAATTAGATGGTTGGCTCTCATATTGCTGTTATTTCCAGTCACTGTATTTTTGTCATTGAGTATTGGAATTATGTTGGTGTTAGCTTTTAAAATCTATGGTCTTTCTGTGGTGTTAGAATTTTGTTTAGGCAATTTCTAAAAATATGCCTTGATAGAGATGAAATAAGTTTCTTTTTAATAACACAGTCATTCTTGCACTCTTAACAATAAAGAATAAGTAGGTGCAACCTGCTAGCAGAGTTTAGACTTACTTTTGTAATGCGTTTTGATTAAATGTTTGATAATTAGGTTGGAGTCATCTTTAAAAGTCATCACGCTCAACCTTAATTTAAAAAATTAATAAAACAATAACCTCAAAAACAATTCTTGGAATAAATTAAAATCTCTTACCTTTTCTTCATTCTTGATATTGTTCAAGATATTCCTAATTATTAGCCAAAATATTGTCCTTTCATCATTTACAAGTTACCCTGAAAATGTCATATTAAATTAAAACAAAAACCAAGGTGTTAGCATTGGTGTTAATGAGAAAGTTGCAGTTGGATGCAGTTTAGGGGGAAAAAAAGTCTAACAGAGGAAATGTTGGCCCTTGAGGTAGCTTGGATTGAATTTATTTCCAAATGGATAACAGTTTAATGAGTTCGGTTGTCTCAACCTCATCCCTTGGGGCCCTCAAGCACTTCACAGAACCTCCATATTTTTGGCTCAAGTGTCAGTATATACTTGTAAAACATCTTAGCAGAAAGCAAATTACTTCATCAGGGATCTGAGCAGTGTCTTTCTGTTTGCTGGCATCAGAGCTTGGCATGGGAAATTTTACTCACACTTATTATAATGACTACCGTCTTTAAACAAAAGGATTAGATGATCATCTATCAAGTGTTGGCTTCTTACTTCCTTTTGCCAATACTAAATGAAACCTCATCTTGAGCCAACAGTGGAGCTATACAGCTTTTTACACTTCTCTGAACCCAAAGACTTACGTTAGTTTCACGAGAAAACCTTCCAGTTTGGGGGCTTAAGTAACTTCCTTTTTTTTTTTTTTAATGCCAACAATATCAAAACTTTTTTCTTTTATTAATTTTTTAATGTTTTTACATTGTTCATTTTTGCACAGTATTTGATTTCTCCCCTCAGGTGTAGTCCCCCTAAAAAACCCACCACCACATCACCCGTGAAGCATCACCATAGTCCCTTGTGCTCTTCCCTCCCTGTTTTGATCCCTTTTCCTCCCCATCTCCTGCTTTAAGCCTCAGATCTATAGAGTAACTTTTATTTTTCCTGTGGTGACAGGAAAAGCAGGGTTACCAATTCTCAAGTCTCAGGAATCAAGTTTTCCCAGTTTATAGTTATTTGCCTTTTAATTGTTAGATGGTTTTCTCATATATTCTCTATAGCCAGGTGACCATTAAAATCTTGATTAATACCTTCAGGATCACAAAATACATCTACGTAATCTAAAGCATAAAACTACATGTAAGGGGCCTCCCTTGGTGGTGCAGCGATTGAGCTCTGGGTTGCGAAGCTGCCCGCAACCTCTGCAGCACCGGTTCGATCCCCGGCTGCTCCCCGGCCACCACAAGAGGGTCCCACATGGCGCGCAGACCTCTCCTACAGCCCGCTGCTCCCCTCAGCAAGTGTACTTTGGTCCTTCTGCCTGCTCTGCTCCCTGCTCCCTGCTGTGGCTCTAATGAATTCTCTCACCCTCCCGCGCTTCTGACTGTACCCAGTGCTTGTATGAATAAATAAATTTTTTTTAAAAAAAGGTAACCTATTAGGAAAAAAAAACAAAACTACATGTAAGTTGTAGAACAATTATTGGCATTTGCAGAGTTTCTGAGATCTAAATGTATGTCATCTCATCCAGTTGCATTAGCAAAATTGTGTGACCTGAGCTCTCGTTATAATCCAGAGGACAGGGGAAATTAATTTTTAGCAACAGAAACTGATGTATTTTGGTATGAGGTTCCAGAACATAGCATTGTCATCTGCTTTAAAACATAGACAATGTGAGGGGACAATATGACTTTAGCATTTGGTTTCTTCCTGTTCTCCTTGTAAGACTTCTGTCTTTCATATTAACACTTATCCACCATCTTAAAAACAAGAGGAAGACGTAATGTGTCAGGATGCTTCCCATGACTAACATCATAGTACTTCTCCCAAATGAGGTTTTAATTGTGCTCTAAGTACTTACATAAAATTTTTGTTTTGCTTTGGGACACCCTCAATATTCTGCCTACTCTTTTCCAGTCAGATTTGATTCCTGAAATGGACTGAAGCTGAAAAATCATCTACTTTGTCTATGAATTTGAGACACAACTGGGATGATCTCAAGTGCATACCACTAGACTCTCACTGCAGATATGAGTTCAGACGAGAAGGGCATATCCCCTGCCCATAAGACGGCCACGCCAACCCATAGAAGTGCCTCCTCTTCAACATCCTCCCAGAGGGACAGCCGCCAGGTAAGAGGACAAAATGCTTGTTTTCCTTTCATGCAAATAGATTACCATTAACCACGATGGGATTGTGAACTATGTGAACTAATTCTGAAACTTTGTTGTGAAGTTTTTAATTCCATAGATTAACTATTTTCTGTAGATCCGCCTTGCTTTTCTGTGATTTAGGGTCCTTTTTAGTTTTGGACCACAGGAAGAGCGTCTGGGGGCAGTGTTCTCCCTGAAGTCTTCTCCCTGTCTGCTGCTGGAGGCGGGAGCCAGCTTCAGGAACTTGAATATTCTGCTTTCTTCTTTCTTCCTTCATGGAGCTGGGAAAGGATCTGAACCTGCAAAGGTCTTCTTCCTGTAAGCCTTTCACTAGTCTGCCAAGCACTAACTTCATTTTCTTTCTTTTTTCTTTCAAGCACAAACCTTGGTTTGTTGTTTCATGGAATCTGGAAGCAGTCATCTTTGGGAGTTAGGATACAAGTAAAATTGTAGTATCATAGAATTAAGGGCAGTGAGAACTCAGTGTTTAAAGTCAATAAAGTAAGTTATTGTTCCTTGATTGTTCATCAAGTCAATTTGGTAAATTATGTGTCTGTTTTTGTCTGGAATTGCTTTAGTTCTACTGCCAGGGTGGTGTGGCGATTATAATCCTATCAGTGATCTTCATGTCAAAACAGGTGGTGGTTTTTGCTCAGTACAGGTTGGAATGTTACTTATTTGCCATTAAAATATTAGCTTGTGATATGATTTTTATTGTGTAATTGGAAAGTCACAATAAGCAGTTGCTTTTTATAAACACTTACCTTTGGGAATCATTCAACTGGTCATCATTGGTGTTCCACTCATCTTCTCACATAGTACATGCTCAAACTTGTATCCCTAGTTTCTAGATGTATAGGCATCCATTATTTGATGGTCTATAGTAGTAGGGACTTAGATCTGAAGAACACCAGTTCCAGATGTGAATCCATTCTTTGTGTGTATGTGTGTGAATCCATTCTTCTAGACAGTGGGAAGGTATTGCTGGGGTGTTCTTAGAGAAACCATAGCTACAAATCCTCCCAACACTCTCTCCCCAATTTTGAGCAAGGGATTCCAGAGCAAACTATAAAAATCAAGGTTTCCTTATGGATGCATATCTTTCACAGATTCAGGGGCAGCTCTTTCTACCGTGGGTCTTCCAGAAGAACACACCTTATTTCTGTTCATTGGAAGCATTTACACCACTGACTAAATCTTTGTTTATACACACATTTATTGCATTTACACTAATTAACAAATTTATTACATTTACATATAATTTATTGCATGCATTTGTAGAGTCAAAGAAAATAAGAGTATTATGAATGAAAATGCATTTATGTTAAATCACTACAGCATGTAGAGAGGCTTTCTAAATTTGCAAATTTAGTCTACCCTTCACCTGCCCCTCTGTGCTTTCTTGTTATGGCTTCTGCATTTTCCACTTGCCCCGGGCATTTAAACTGAGAGACATTTTAAGCAGTTGGGCCCTCCTGGCTGCTGAGGGAAGGAAGGGATTGACCCTGCTCACCCTGGAGAATTGTGGCTAATGGAAAAGACTGATGAAGGCTGTGGAAACATCTGTCACGCGTTGTTAATCTGCCTGTTGCACCTGAGCTCCAGGGCTAGCTTGCAAAACAACAGGGGAAAACCTAGACCCTGGTCTGCCAAAGGGAGTTTGAAGGTGGAATGTGTGAGTCCTGGCTGGCATGTGAATGGAAAGTTTTATAGTGGGAATAGAGTAGCATGTCCTTAAATTAATAATAAATTCTACACAATTTCTCTCTTGGCAATGTTCAGATGGTTGTTATTCTTTAAGGTGAGAGTTTACAGTCATGCCTATTTATCTTGGCATGTAGAAATGTTCCTGAATACTTTCTCCTCTGGTTCCTTCCTGCCTCGTGTTTCGTGTCTGTTCACTTCCCTCAAGGGAGAAAAGAATAAAGAACAAATTGCAGTTCTGTTTTTTCTTAACTTTTCCATCACTCTATAAACCAAAACTGTTCTGGAAATCAGAACTGTTGAGTGATCCTGTGATATGATCCTGTGATATGATATGATATGATCTGGTGTTTTTCTTTATTTGCATTTTTTTTTGTAATGACTGTTTAAATAAATTTATTTTCATTGACTATTACCATTCTCCTGGTTTGAATAACATGGTGCAAGCCTTAAGTATTCATCTCTTAAATTGACCACATAGGAAAAGGATCTAGCCCATAGCTGAGAATGTGGCAGCTATTTTTTTGTGGGACCCTCGCCGGCGGCTAGGGAATAAACCGGCACTGCGGAGGCTGCGGGCAGCCTCGCAGCCCAGCGCTCAACTGCTGCGCCACCAGGGGAGGCCCCCATCCAAAGTTTTATTCCCAAATCACAACTAAGTGAGCATTTCTACTTATGGGTACCACATTCACCTTAAAACAATATGGATAAACTAGTTTATGGATAAAACAATATGGATAAACAGTCGATATCATCATTCTCTCATGGACTCAAGGTCAAAGCCATGCCCTGCTCTGTTGCCTTTCTCACATTCAATAGGTTAACAAGCCCTATTGATTATTTCTTCCTACATGATATTTCTATTGCTGCTGCCCATTCCTCAGCCCAGATTCTCATCACCTCAATCCAGGTTCCTGAAAGTGCTCTTGCCTCGCCACTGCCCTAATGCCTCACAAAATCCAATTTCCTATGTCCTGATCTCCTCGCCTGTACTGTGAACTCCTCTAACCAGACTATGCACTCTAATTCTTCAGAGACAAACTTGGCACCTGAAATATTTTAATGCAACCTGCAACAATATTAGTCTTGTCTTTTTATTACAGTTTTTCCCATTACAGATTTATTTGTCTTCTCCCTTCTTCCTTCCTCATAGATAAGTAAAACAAAGGACATCTGCCAAGTACATAGTAGTAATTGAATGTCCTTCTTGTCACTAAATTATGTAGCCCAACAGGTAAAGGAGGTGAGGGGTTGGGAAATGAAGTGATTCAGTGCCCCTGTGATTTCACTAAGTGTTTTCTTCATCAATAAGAGGGTCAAGACTCCACTTAGTATTTAACAAGTTGGGAGACTTTAGTAATTGCTTCATTTACATTTTGTTCAGGTAGGTCTGATATTAGATGTTAGAACATCTAACAAAATTGGCCGTGTGTGTGTGTGTGAGAGATGTATGTACAACTCATAAATTGCAAGAAATATATGCCTTAAAATCTTCAAAGTGGAAATAAAGGGGTTGATTAAACATCAAGGACTTGTGCATAAATCATCATTCTCCCAAGTATGCACCAAGGAATGCTTGTCTCTTGAGCTGTTGCATGAAAAGGGAGTTCTACTATCAAATAAGTTAGAGAAATGCTAAACACAATTTTCTTTTTGCAGTGTAAAAATTAATAAGTTAAAGGCACTGATATGTCCTGAACTTAGAACTTTAACTTCTAAAATTTGGTAGGTTATAGGACTTTTTTATTTCTTAAGATTTGGTTGTTGAAAATCCACATTGTTCTTTCTTTTAGAAATTGGACCATCTGGGGAAAAATTCCAAATAGCAACATTGGACTGAGGCTTGAAAGTGACTTTCCTTTCAGATGGGGCATTTGTGTTCTTATCAGCCTTAGTCCCTACTTCTCCTTACTGTGTCTCAATACTTTTGCCCCCTGAAAGTATTTGAACGTATGTACCCTGACCCCAGATATCAGTAGGTCAATTATTATATAATATATATGTGATCAAAGGTGATATTCACTTAGATATTAAGAAGGCATCTTAACTTGTCCAAACTAGACTCTTAATTTCCTTTTCAAATTTATTCATTATCCCTCCTCATCCTTTCGTTAGTCGAAAACCTGAGCATCATCCTTGGCTCCTCTTTTTTTCTCACTCCCTGCTTCCAAACCCACAGCGAATCTGTTTTTTCCTGCCTTCAGAATGTACCTGGAATCTGCTCATTGCCTCCTGCTCTCCAACCTGGTCTGACCCACCATCATTTTTCACCCTAACTGTGGCCACAGACTTCTCATTGGTCTTCCCGTTCTAGCCTTGCCTGACACACAGGTCATCTTTTACAGAGTACTCAAAGTCATTCCTTCAAAACCTAAGTTAAAAATCTGTCCTCTGCTCCCAGTAGTTTCCAATTTCTCTACAAATAATATTTGACTGGCTACCGTAGTCCACCAGGTCATTCACAATCTGGTTCTGCCTGGCCCAGTGTCCCCCCTGTTATCACCTCCTCTTCACTGAGTTCTTTGGAGCATTTTCCTCAGATGTACCAGACCTGCTTCCACTGAAGGACCTTGCCCTTTTGACCTCCTCCACCTAGCCTGCCCTTTTGGCCTCCTCCACCTAGCCTGCCCTTGTGGCCTCCTCAACCTAGCCTGCTTTTCCTCCAGGCACCTCCAGGTGTGCTCACATACTCGACTCATCCTCTCCATGCACCCACTTGGGTGCACTTCTCTGCCCTCCCCTGCAGATCCTCATCACTCACTAACCACCAACCTGGTTTCACTTGTCTTCAAAACAAATTAACCCCCACCCGACATGTTACATATCTATGTTTATCTCTCTATCCTCTTCCTCTATTCCCTACCACTGAAATGTAACCTCTCCATAGGTGGGGGGTTTTATTTTCTTCTATAATGTATCTCTAGCCCATCTTATAGTACCTCACATATGGTGTGGCTCAGAATCTTTTTGAATGAATAAATGGATGAAGAGGTTGGCACCAAGAGGAAGATTGTGAGGCCTTGATAGCCATGAAGGAACAATTTTGAGTTTGGGAGGTGACAACAAGGAGTGAAAGTGATATGTTGGAAGCTCTGAGTATCCCAGGAAGACTCTCTACTTGAGCGTAGAAGAGGAGTTGTCCAAAGGGGGCATTGGGGAGCCAGGAGAATAAGACCCTCTGCTTGCTACTTACAGTTATTATATGGTACAAGAAATGGCTTGAGGTAGGAAGGAAATTATAGCAGAAAAAAGTAAAGTGGTGGTGGCATTCAACA